GGCGCGGTGGCTCAAGCCTGTAATCCCAGCACTTTGGGAGGCCGAGGCGGGCGGATCACGAGGTCAAGAGATCGAGACCATCCTGGTCAACACGGTGAAACCCCGTCTCTACTAAAAATACAAAAAATTAGCTGGGCATGGTGGTGCGTGCCTGTAATCCCAGCTACTCAGGAAGCTGAGGCAGGAGAATTGCCTGAACCCAGGAGGCGGAGGTTGCGGTGAGCCGAGATCGCGCCATTGCACTCCAGCCTGGGTAACAAGAGCGAAACTCCGTCCCGAAAAAAAAAAAAAAAAAAAAAAAAAAGAAAATGTAGCACATATACACAATGGAGTACTATTCAGCCATAACAAAAAATGAGATCCTGTCATTTGAAATAACATAGATGGAAATGGAGGTCATTAAGTTAAGTGAAATAAGCCAGAAAGACAAACATCACATGTTCTCACTTATCTGTGGGAGCTAAAAATTAAAACAAGTAAACTCATGGACATAAAGAGTAGAATGATGATTATCAAAGGCTGGGGAAGATAGTGGCAGGGCAGGGTGGGGAGAGGAGGATGGTTCTTGGGTACAAAAAATAATCAGAACAATTAAGACTTAGTATTTGCTAGCACAAAAGAGTAAATGTAGTAAAAAATAAATGTTCATTTAAAAGTAACTAAAAGAATATAATTGGATTGTTTGAAACACAAAGGATAAATGTTTGGGGTGATAGATACCCTATTAACACTGATGTAATTATTGTGCATAAATATCTCATCATATACCCCCTCAATAAACATATTTCCTATGGACCCAGAGAAACGAAAATAATTGTAGAGACAGGGCCTCACTATGTTGCCCAGGCTGGTCTCAAACTCCTGGGCTCAAGCGATTCTCCCACCTCAGCCTCCCAAAGTGCTGGGATTACAGACATGAGCCACTGAATTATACACTTTGAATGGATGAATTAAATGGTATGTGAATTCGATCTTTATACATCTGTTCAAAGAGTAGCAGTCACTTATTTTAGCCAAGAGAGATGATCTGGTATTTTATGGGTGGCAACGTAGTGACCTTGTTTTTGTCAATGCTTAGACAAAATAATGGCATGGCATGGCCTTGCCTCATTTTATCACGGTCTGAGTAACCTTATCTGGAGGTTGGTATTCTGTGAGTCTGTTTATGTTCCCCATGAGAGTCAGATGAGTTTGTGACAACAGCTCCAGATGTCAGGAGCTGCTTTTTTTCCTTTCTTAGCTGACTATTGGGAAGCTCTGCTGGGGGCCCACAGGAATGTGAATAAACACACTTGGAAAATCTGCAGAAGCTCTGGTCCCAGCCTCCTGCTGGTGTGAGCCTGGGTTCCTGTGCTTGGGACCCTGGAAGGTGGAGGGGGACACCGGGCTGGAGGAGATCATGTGCCATCTGGGATTTTTTGTGCTTTCTTATGTCTGTTGTTATTTCAAAATATTTAAAGGCAAAAGGTTCATCAACTGCTCTGTCAAGGAGACCCTGTCATACCCCAGTGACTGCCTCCAGCTCTCACCCCTCTCTGTTGACCCCCTAGGAATCTCTCAACAGTCCAGGGAGGACTTGTAGGGTGGGGGTGGAGGGAAGGGACAGCAGCTGCAGCCTTTTCTGGCCCAGGCAAGAAGAAAACTTCCTGTCCTTTCTCTCCATTGCAGATTTGGGATTAAGCCTTATTTTGCAATGGGTGTAATCTCAACAGACACTGAGGGGTGCCTGAAGTCCCTGCAAAACCCTTTCTGGTATCAGCTACCTATCACAGGATGCAGAGGACAAGGTCAGGTAGAGGCTGTGTTCCCGGTGAGAGGAAGGCAGGGGGAGGGAATAGAAAGAGCACTGGAAATGGGGTGGGAAGACCAAGGTTCGAATCCCAGCCCTGCCCCCTCCTTGCAAGGCTACTTAGGTGAGAGTTCCTGCCCTTTCTGAGTTCCTTCCTTCCCTCCCTCCCTTCTCCTCCCCTCCTGTCGCCTCCTCTTCCCTTCTTCCCTTCCTTCCTTGCTTCCCTCTCTTTGTTGGCCAGGCTGGAGTGCAGTAGCATGATCTCAGCTCACCGCAGCCTCGACCTTCTGGATTCAAACCATCCTCTCACCTCAGCCTCCTGAGTAGCTGTGATTACAGGCTTGCACCACCATGCCTGGCTGATTTTTATATTTTTGGTAGTGATTGGGTTTTACCGTGTTGACCAGGCTGGTTTCCAACTCTTGACCTCAAGTGATCCTCCTAACTTGGCCTCCCAAAGTGCTGGGATTATAGGCATGAGCCACCACACCCAGCCTCAAAATGGTTAACAATCATTGACTATCTCTTCCTGTTTGGGGATGAGGCATTAAAAGGTGCTCAGAAGTTCCAGCAGAAGGGGCCGCTCCTAAGAGACACAGGACCAGAAAATACAGACTCAAAAGTAGGCCTTGGTGCCCCGGGGCTGCCCCTCATCCTCCAGTGGGCCTTTGCGTCTGTTCTAGGCTCAGAGAGAGCAGAAGGGAAAACGGGGACCACTCTAGGTGGTGTATGGAGGGTTGTAATTGCTCTGTGCACTGCCCAGTGTGATGTTTCTCAGCCTCACCACAGGTCATCCAGGGGGTGGAATTCTTCTGGTTTATGTTGATGCTGAATTATTCTATTTGGCGGGAGCCTTGCCACCCTGGGCTTCAGGGAAACCCTCTTCCAGGGCCCCCTGGATTTTTCCCATTTTACCAGGCTTGCTGGATGCATTTGGATTCACATTCTTCCCCAACAACTGCTGTCACAGCTGTGGATCAGCTACTGCAATGAGAAGCTGAAGCAGCACTCTGTGACTGACGAACTGAGGGCCCAGCAGGTGTGGCCGGCAGACAAATCCGGACATCTGTACTTTCTCCAGGCTCCTGCCCCTCCCAGGTATGCCCAGCAGCCTCCATTCCTCATTGGACGCTGTTCATGTCTTTGCCATGGCTGTCAGGCCAGCCAAGGGGTAACATTTGGTCCTTAGGCCACAGAAGCCCTCTTCTGTCCCTCCAGGGAGATTACTTTGTTAAGAGGCTAGAGCTGCTGTTTGTTAACTACTATAATAACCACAGCAGTCTGGCTCTGAACAAGGGAACCCCATTAGCATCAGCTCCTTGATGGATGAGGTGGAGAGCAGAGGACAGGGAGGAGGATGTCGCTGAGAAGTTTGAAGAAGTTAGTCATTAGGAGCATTAGCGACTGTCCTTCTGCCCCTCTGTCTCCCCTAATGTGTTCACTAATACCCACCTTATGTGTCTCTCAGGGTCACTGTGATGTCCAGGGTAACACTTGTTTTTATCTATTGCCATGGGGGCCACAATGTGAGGTGCATGAGAGAGGGGGCGTAGCAGCACCATCTGTCTCAGACATCATCCAGGGTGTACCAGCAGGCACCCTTGATAAAGAAGGGGGCCAGCTACAAGAGTCAAAAGCAACATGATTCAGTATGCAGCATAATTATTTTAAGAATCCTGATTTTGGGCTGGGTGCAGTGGCTCACGCCTGTAATCCCAGCATTTTGGGAAGCTGAGGCGGGTGGATCACCTGAGGTCAGGAGTTTGAGACCAGCCTGGCCAACATGGTGAGACCCCATCTCTACTAAAAATACAAAAATTAGCTGGGTGTGGTGGCAGGTGCCTGTAATCCCAGCTACACAGGAGGCTGAAGCAGGAGAATTGCTTGAACCTGGGGAGCGGAGGCTGCAATGAGCTGAGATCATGCCACTGCACTCCAGCCTGTCAGAGAGAGAGAGAGAGAGAGAGAGAAAGGAGAAGGAAAGAAGGAAGAAAGAAAAGGAGAGGGAGGGAGGGAAGGAAGTTAGGAGAGAAACAGAAGGAAGAATCCTGATTCTGGGACAGCTCAGCAGACCTGAGGCCACCACCTGCTCTTCGCCATGGTATGAACTCAGCCCTGACACAGTGCCCGGTCCCCTGGGGCCCTGCTGGTGGGGCCTAGCTAGAATGTTCTCCACATTTCAAATTGGAGCTGCCTAGCAGTTGGAGGTGTCAGACCTGAGTCCTTGAATACATTTGCCAAGACCAGAGACCAGGACATGACATTTGCAGCCACCAAATGAGTGCTGGCTGCTGCTTCTGCTCCCCTGGAACATCCTCTCAAAACCCTTTTGCCTTGTCTATTACCTCATCTCTCTCCTGGCCTGCATTCTTCCTTGGCAGACTCTAAGGAGTCACCCGTGGGGGCCTGGAGTGAGCCAGGGCATGGTTCTGGGTACCAGCACTGCCATCTGGCTGCTCCTTCTGGTGTCCTGCTGGCCCTTCTTTGCTGGACTAGTGCCTGGCCCAGTATCACTGCCATCATAATCATGCTTAACTCGAGGGATATCATTTACTCCTTCAAGGGCAAGATTCTAGACCCCTCACTGCAGGGCCCTTCACTGGGGACACCTGGTCTTCCTTGCCTGCTTGGACATTGAGGGTGGAGGGAGGAAGGGTTATGGGCACTCATGGAAGCTGTGGGGAGCATTCAGAAAGAAGAGAGAGAGGCATCTTCACTGCTGGCCACGTGTGGGACCAATTGCAGGGATTGTCTCTCTGCCTGTGGTCCCTCCCACTCCCCATAGGTAGCAGAGTCTGCTACACTTGGATGCCAGTGGGAAGAATGCGTTCTTGGAGAGAGAGTGGACCCTTCCCTGGGCTCACAGGAGAAGACGGGGCTGGAGCGGGCAGTGGAGCTGTCCAGAGTGAGCAAGTGTCTGCGGAATCCGGGATGCAGCGTGTGAATGGAGCTCCACACTCTCCCAGCTTCCTGGCCCGGGACAAGCATTGGCACTCTCTGGGCCTCCTCAGGAAATCTCGAACCTCCTAGGCAATTCCAGTTTGAGTCAGCCCTGCGAGCATCCAGGTGGGTGATTAGCCGATGTGGGCGCGGCCTGGAGCAGGCAGCTGGGGAGTGGCGGCTGCACGCAGAGGACAGCTGTGTACCTGTGTTGGCTGAGTCAGGGCCAGGAGCACTTCAGCACCGCTGTCTGGACAGCGCCCCCGGGCAGGCGGGTGGCACCCTGGCTAAGGGGAGAAGTGCGCTCACCCAAAAGGCCAGCATTTCTCACTGCGAGGACGCAGCAGGATTGTCCGAGTGGGCCCTGAACCTGAGGTTCGGGCGGGTGGGGAACGCACAAAGTGGGCGTCGGCCTTTAGAGACAGGCAATTTACTGCCTTAGGCGGGCAAGTGCACGAGGCCCGGGAACCCTGAACAGGTTGGGATGCCCCTTGGGGTCGGGATGAGGCGCTGGGCTTGTGATTAAGCATAGTGGAGTCTAGACATAACGTCCAGAACCTGCCAAGGCTGGTGGCACCCTGCCTGGGGCACTCATCTTGGACCAGTCCACACCCAGGGCTAGAGTTCAAAATCTCCTGGGCTGGGTCTCCCTGGCTCAGGGCCTCTCATCTTGGGCGCTACTCTTGACGCAGAGGCCACGTGGCAGGCCCCTGGCCTGCGCCCTGCTCAGCCTCCCCTCCCCTGCCCACCCCAGAACGTGGAGAGCCCCACCGCTTCCCACCGAAAACCAGCCTGCTCCCCGCGACCTGCTCCCCTGCGCAGCTCCATTACTGTCGGGAGATGAGCCTCGCCTTCTTTTTTTTTTTTTTTTTTTTTTGAGATGGAGTTTCGCTCTTGTTACCCAGGCTGGAGTGCAATGGCGCGATCTCGGCTCACCGCAGCCTCCGCCTCCTGGGTTCAGGCAATTCTCCTGCCTCAGCCTCCTGAGTAGCTGGGATTACAGGCACGTGCCACCATGCCCAGCTAATTTTTTGTATTTTTAGTAGAGACGGGGTTTCACCATGTTGACCAGGATGGTCTCGATCTCATGACCTCGTGATCCACCCGCCTCGGCCTCCCAAAGGGCTGGGATTACAGGCTTGAGCCACCGCGCCTGGCCCTAAGCCTCGCCTTCTTTCCGCAGCGAAGATGTCCTGGGCTCCTGCGCTAAGTGAGGCCCATCCTGGCAAGGCCGGGTGACCTGGCAGTGGTACCGATTGGGGCTAGCCAGGGCGGCGCAGGGACCCACGGCGCCGCGTGATGCAAACGGAAGGGCGAGAGCAACCCGGCTCCGTACAGGTGGTTCCTGGTTGCTGCTTAAGCCGCCCTTTCTTCCCTTCCTTCCCTTCCAGGGGCAACAGGCCCGTGTCTCCTTTGGCAGCCTCTGTCTCCAGAGAGGCACTGGGCAGCTAAGGCGGTCAGAGCCCTCAGGTGAATCCTCCCTCTCCAGGAGTCAGCCCTGCGAGCTGCTGGAGGGTAGGTAGTGGGACGCACAACGTTCTCAGGGCTGGGAGGTGTCATCTACCTCATACCCTCACATAGGAAGAGTGAGGGGGCTGGGCCTGGCTATCCTCTTAGGTCCTCACTGGGCAGCTTGAGATTCTAGGTTGGAAGGAGTCACCCCACTACCCAGCCAGCTCTACTTGCCTCCTGCCCAAGGAGACCCGTGCAATGGAGGCTGCAAGACACTAGGGCACAGTGACAAGGAGGGATTCCAAGACTCCTTGGAAGAGCCAGATCCCTGAACTTCTCAACAAAACCAGGGGCCACCTCTGGCCTTCCCCCTTCCAAAAAGGAAGGCAGGAAAATGGTTAGAGGCAGATTGTCAGGAGAGGCCTGTGGAGTAGGCAGGGGACCAGAGCCAGGTCATTCTATAACTAGGGCAGCAGCCATGCCTGTTAACCTGGTGAAACCACTCCAGTCCTAGTACCCTGTGACATGTCCCAGGAGGTGGTGACCATATGTGGTAAGTGAGTCGGGAAGCAGAGTGGAGGATGAAGGGGACCACCACAGGCACCAAAACAGCACTCCCAACATAGGGAATGGGGCTCAGGGAAGCAAGGGGCTGTGGTCCTCAGTGATGTTTCTGGGCTCTCAGCTAGAGCTGCAGGAAGTTGTGGACAAATTCAACCAAGGACTCTGAAACTCAGGTGAAATAAATAGAGAGAGAAAGGAAGGGAGGGAGACAGAGAGAGGCAGAGACAGGCAGAATTTCAAAAGATGCAGGCAAATCAGCCCTCTTTCT